TGCTTTGGAAACGGGAGGGTGCCCCAGGCTCGAGGACCTTGTGAGCTTTATAAAACACGCTTTATAATCAATCATTAGCTAAATGTGAACTTTTGAAATGCTCATTCATAACAGCAAAATACAAATTTTAACTGACAAAAATAACTGTTTCCAAACACTAAAATGGAAATAACTTAATAACAATGAAATAACTGAAGGCTGATTTTTACTTCTGTGCGTACGTGTATACCGTATATGCCAGCGCAGCCTTCAATCGGTCGTACAGCCCTCGCACAGAGGACGTGCACCTCTCAAAAAAGTAATTACACGTCGCAAAGACGCATCCCACAAGCTCTGTGATTGGTCCATTTGGTAGAGGTGACGAGTGTGGGCGGTGCTGAGAGCTGCGAGCCCGATGGAGTGAGTGTTTACAAGTGTCGAGTTCTGTGAAGGAGCTCCAGATGGAGACTTTTGTTTTGTGTTGACCTTATGATTAAAGTAGTTGCACGTCCGCCAGTTCCTGCCTCTGAATAAGCGAGTTTTAGCTACTTGTAGCGTTCAGGTTCCAGCAACCATTGAACGCAGAAGTACAAACCAGCATTAAATCTTATCACACAGCAAAAATGTTAATAATTAAAATTTTAATTAATGTTATTCATCAGTACTTTGTTCTTCTTCTCCAGTGCAAAAGTCTTAAGATTCTATAAAACAGGATATATTCAGTTAAGAAGCCAAATTACAAGTGAAGTTTTGTTTTCTGAAATGAAGCCAGTTCATCGTTAAAACAATTAATTTTCATCCCCAATTGATACATATTTGTAACAGTTTATCAAGCTTAAACTCTGTTTCTTGAATTAATGATGGAGGAAGATACAAATCTTTCGTAGTACACACAATATACATTCATTCATTCAATTTCCTTTGGCTTAGTCCCTTTGTTTATCAGAGGTTGCCACAGCAGAATGAACCGCCAACTTAATCAGCATATGTTTTACACAGCGGATGCACTTCCAGCTGCAACCAAGTAATGGAAAACACCCATACATACTCATTCACACACATATACTATGGACAATTTAGTTTATTCAGTTCACCTATTTGAACCGTGGGGAACATACAAACTCCACACAGAAATGCCAACTGACCCAGCTGGCACTTGAACCAGTGACTGTATTGCTGTAAGACGACAGTGCTAACCACTGAGCCACATGCAATATTCAGTGCCACAAATTCTTCATTAATATACTGTTAAACGATATAACAATCTTTAAAATGAAATATTCTGTCTACTTTTCTTCTGAAAAACAATTTGGGCTTTGTAATATTTTTTGCACATTTATATTTACTGTATATATTATTTAAATTACATGAATGCAATTTATGTATTTATTTTAAAATTATTAAAAAAAACAAAAGTTTTCCCAGGTACTTCCCTGTTCCCTGTAATTCCCATGCTATTAATATTATTTATGACAGCACTCTTTTCTAATAGCTTTATTTGTTTCTACACAGCCTGTTGTTTAGTTTCTATTATTACTAATCCTGCAATTGAAAAAGCAATAAAATAACGATAAAAAATTCTTCATGCTAAGAAAACGACCCCTTAGTGGGATCGTTCACAGAACGAAACCAAACACTCTTGGATTGCATCACTTTGCATGAGCTAAAATAATATAATACAGGAAAGAACAGAGCACTTTAAAACAAAATGAGACTTTTATATCTCAACACTGGGCAGAAAGACAACTTTCCTTCAACAAGTGGGAGAGAAAAATAGATTGAAGAGGGAAAAGCAAACGACAAACCACAAGAAGGTCCCCAACAAAGCTTCAAGAACAAAGCCTGAGCCAGCAAACACTGCTTTTACTTTAAACGGACAAACATGTTGAATCTCCAGAAATCTGGCTCATGCACAAGGAGGATCTGAGCAAGCGTTCTGTACAAACCTGTGACGCTGCATAGAGAGAATAGCTGGGTTTCTGGATTTAGGTTGTCCAGAATTATAGGCCATTGAATGGAGAAAGATTCTTCTTCCAGTTGGATCACTGTCTGTTCCCAGCAGAATATCTGACCTGGTTCAGTGGAAAAAAAGCAAAAGTTTAATGTCACAGTGTTAAACAGGAATGACAACATGACGATTTATGTAGGAAAGCTTTAAATCTTGGAATAATTCAGAAATGAAGAAGCGACCGCAGAGATGTTCAGCTTGAATGGTTTTGATTCAGTAACACTGAACCTTTCCTAACAAACAGATGAATGGAATTTTGTATGTGCTATAAAGCATCTGTGGCTGCATCTTATGGAAACACACCCAGGTCATGTTTCAGTCCAAAGACCAAAATTATTAAATATATTAAGAGAAACTTATTTTTAGGACCACAAAGATTTAACAACATTATTAAAAATCGATCAAAAATGTCACTGTGCTCTTAAACCACAAAGATAAAATAAAACCTGATTTAATAATTAATGATATATATATAGAAGAAAGTTGTTCATTTAGTAAAAGGGTTTTTGAGACTCTCCATGTTCGATTTTGTTTTTATATACACAATTATGCCATCAAACTGTTGTATAAATGCAATTTCACACAAGTAGCAGTGCGATATGGCTGTATACAACCATATATATATATATATATATATATATATATATATATATATATATATATATGTGTGTGTGTGTATATATTAGGGATGTAACGGTATCAGAATTTCACGGTACGGTAATACCTCGGTATGAATGTCACGGTACGGTATTTATTGAATCATTTACAGGAAAAACGTTCGAGGTTACTAAAGTAACCCTTCGTTCCCCGAGGAGGGGAACGGAAGCACTATAAGTGGATTTGATTGTAAAATCCACGCATTGGGAGGTTCGGTTCAGAAGCTACTCGTCTGAAAGAGTATTGAACGGGCCAATTAAGAATGTATTGGCAGCGCAATCCTGCGCAGGTGAGCGG